TTATATTTTAAGTCTTTTAACTTTATCCAAGATTTTAATTTAGTCTATAAATTTAATAAAATAAAAATATTTTCAATCTCTTAACTCTAACACTGTTAATTTCATATGGTTATTTTTTATACCAATTATTGTTATTATTTGTAAAAAAGTAACCTTAATATGTCAATATTTAAGAATATTTTTTTAATATTTAGGAGTTTAATGTAGTTTTTTTTTAAAATAATACTAACATTGTAAGGGTTAAAGGATTGAAATGATATTTTATAGAATTAACAGACTAAAATATGAATTTGTGTAAAGTTCAAGGACTAAAAATATATTTTAGCTAATTTTTATTAGTTTTCTCATTTCACTATTAATTTTTTTTATCCAGCCAGTCGACAATTAATTAAAACATGAACTTCCCTTAGGTTTAAATAAGGGAGTTGTTTTAAGAAAAAATTTTGATTGCAATTCATTAATGCACTCACTATCTTATGTGAGTTGAAAATTAAATTATTAAAATAAATCAGGTTCTTTTAGATTTATTTTATAAATATTTTATTAAAAATAGAATTATTTTATATTTGATTACAATAACAAAAAGTGATTATTATTTAGTAATTTTTAGCTTTTGTGATATTTTCATTGGTCCATAAAAATTATTTATTAATTTTTTATTTTAAAATTTTATGATATCTTTGTACATTTTTATACTTTTATCAACCTTAATTATTTTTAAAAGATTAAGATTTCATAAAATATTTTATTAAAAATAAGTTTTTTTCTAGAAAAAATAAACAATTTGAAAATATTATAAAATCTAACAAGATTTGAGGTCTGTTTGTTTAAGATTAATAAATAAATAATTTTTAGATACTTTAGAGAATTTATAAAAAGTGATTTATTTTATATAGATTTTAAAAAAGAAAAATTATTTTACATTTGGCTATAATAATAAAAAAAATCACTTTTTACTTATTATAATAAATTAAATATGTATTTCAAGGTTTAATAAACATTCTAGACCCTAAAGTATTATGTCAATAACATCTTGGACCCTAAACTCTAGAAATGTACAAAATAGATCTTAAACTTCTAGATCCATGGCAAAGTACACCCCACCGTTAATTTATAGATGACTCTCATTATTTTTCAAGTGCCTATTGGTTCTAGTCAAATGGTGATGTAGTAGTCATCCCTCTTGATATGTCTCTCAGTGATCCTTTGATATTAACGTTGCCCTCATATCGATGGTAACAGAAGTTAAGGTCCTTTGTTGTTTGAATCATCTCTCTGCATGTAATCATCTTCACCCACTTGTTCAATGAGCTAGCAATGTCGAGAGGACTTGCTGAGGGGTGTCATGGCTAAGTCATCATCATCGTCACTTTATAGAAGCAATAGGAGGAAGGTGAGATTGTTAAGGCAAGGAGGAGTAGAGATGTATTATGAAGGTGAGGCAAGAGTGTGTTATTGTAGCCTCCTAGCACCTTGCTAGACTTCATAGGCCATTGAAAATCATGGGAGAAGGTTTTATGGGTGTCGAAACTAGAATAAGTTACCCTTTTTTGTACTAACATGGATTTTTTATTTTATACTTTAATGAGTAAGATCTAAACAACCATTTTTAAGGAAAGGGATGTGGGTAATTCGTATGGCATGATAGTGATTTAGGGCATAGATCAAAAATGATAATTAACGAGCTTCTAGACCACATAAATAATTTATATGATGAAAATAGTATGTAAAGGGGAAGAAAATTAACAAAAGCTTTCATGGCAGAGCCTGATTCACTATGTACTGATGTGAAGAAGTTGAAGAGCATATGTGACAGTGAAGAACTGGTTGTTGAAAGTGAGAGAAGAAAGTTCAAAATTGTTGTGACACTGTTGATCTTATGATGGGTGTTATTTATCCATTGTAAAGTGTGTAATAACATTTTAATTGATGAAATACTAATGTAAAGCATGTTCATGTGATATCGCATAAGAATTTGCTAATTTATAATGTAATCTATTGGTGCATGTGTAAAACAAACCTTCATGACCCCATAATGTCTTAAAAAAGAAGAGCCTCTAATTAGCAGTATTAGAGTACATATCACAAAAGTTCACTTTTGTTTTAAAGAATTTTTTAAGAATTCCACTAATGGGAGTAATAAAAAGTAAAGAATGATGGTCAATTAATAATTCAAATTATTACCAAAGTAACAAAGCTTTTCTTGGCCAAAATGATACAAGTAACAGAGAGAAAAAGAAAGCTTGTCCTGACCACCCACATCCCACATCCCAAAGAGGTCTTAACAAAAAACTAACTACCAATATGATACAAGTAACAAAGCTTGTCTTGGCCACCCACATCCCAAATGGTGAAGCTAATGTATTTACATTCCATAATTTTGCATTAAACCCTGTATAGTAGTGAACATACATATCAATTACAATTGCAATCATTAAGCAAAGAACAACAAGAAGTATTTGAGCATAAAATTTAAGGACATATGCAAATGTAAAATGATAAATATAAGAAAATAAGGAGCATCTCTTCTTTCAGCTTATAAAACATGTGTCTATTATACATAAACCTCCAATGATGCAATACATGGTGACTTCAATGAGAAGGGTATTTACTTGCTCAAAATATTGACAAACATATTGCTCAAAATACAACTCAAATTATTGACAGAAATGGCATGCTAGAAATGCGTCATAAGCCCAAAATAATTACTTCATAGATTACTCCAAAATACAACCTATAGTCAAATACATTAATCCAAAATAAAACATCAAAATAGGAGTTGTGAGCCTAAATCCCTTCATTTCTCTTCCTACACTTTAGCTTTCCAATTGTTGTCTACTTCTTTGCCTCAAGTTATGAGGCTATAATTGAAGGATTTCCCATCCATCTCAAAGAGTGAGTCCTTCTCTAAGATTGCTTAGTGACTTGACTATGTTGTGTTCAAGTCATTATTTGTTCTTGTTCAGTGGCCTCACCATGTATTTTAGTGCTTGATCCTTCTTGTTGAGAAGCTACATGTTTTCCTCTCTTTCTCCCTTTTGTCTTACTTATCCCTAGAGGTGTTTATAGAATAAGCAACTTAAGCAAACTAATTTGAACAATTAAAATAGTATTTAATTGTTAAAACAAGTAGAGGATATAGACTATTTTATGGACTCTTATTATAACCTTGTTGTTTGCACACATTACATGTCACTAGAGTTCTTCTTTTTGATAATTTATTAGTCATAGTTAAAGGACATCAGATGAGGTAGCTTCAGATTATCTTGCAATTCCTCTCTCCAATCTCCTTAATTTTGGTCCTATATGAAGCCTTATGTGCTTCTTTATGGTGATAACGAGATATATGAGTGCTGGGATCAACATTTGCATTGAACATTGCATAAATACCATGCTACCATGGGATTTCAATCATCTCGCATGATCTACATGTACATCACCTTTTCTCTAATAACACAGTGTGTTTATCTAGGCTATCACTAACCTCATACCCAATGTCTTTGTTGAAAGTGACATTACATTTCATTACTAATAACCTATTGTTTTAAATAGTTGTAAATACATGGGGTTATAGTTTCCCATCTATCTCTTAACAATTTTGTCACTTTCAACCCACTTATTCATCAGCCTTAACCTAATGCCTTCATACATTCTAATGACAAGTAAATAATGATATTCTTATATCCAAGCATTAAAACTATCACAATATTGTTGTCTACCACCCAAAACTGACACTAAGTTATGAAATAGGCCCTAACTCAACTATACCATTGCCTTTGCAACATGCTTACTAATGCGTCCAACTTCTTTTAAGTTGTCATGGAATTCCTCTTCATATGTACTCTAGGCTATAGTGAACAATCTTTTCTTCAATTTGTTTCCTTGCCACTTCTTGCTTCAATTAGCACATATGTGGCTTGCATATAACCTTTGCTTGGCTTTAGGGAGAATATTTCTTACTACAATATTTAGTCCTTTTGATGAAAAAAAGAATTGGCTATTAACATTTCATATAACATCTTATATATATATATATATATGTATCAAAATATCACCAAGCTTTTCAAAATCAAAAATTAAAAACAAACTTTTTTATATGTCAAACATGATAGTCACCCTTGATCTATCACCAAGTCCTAGGGAAATCCTATGCCATTCTAAAAACCAAGTGCAATTGATATTATTTTCTTTTTGTGTCAAGCCAATTGCAATAGGGAAAAGGGATCCCTTTTGCATTTCCCTTCAAAAAAAAGTGCCATTAAAACCAATAAATGGCCTATAACCAACTCACCACCTAACCTATTCCAAGAAAAGCATTATTCAAATAACTTTTTAGCATATATTAGTTAAAAATAACAATATGTTAAAAAATAAGTTTATCTTAGATGCATTTCATCATATATACAATATGCTAAACACCCTCTTCCCTTATTGCGAAGCTTCTTTACTCTATTATATTCTTACATCACTCTAAAGGTCTGAATGTCTAAGTTTATAGTTCCAATTTCCTAAACTTATCCTTATAACTACCTTCCAACTCCTTCATGATAATCTTTTTATACCTTATACACTTGAACACACTAACAGTTACCTTCAAATCATGTTTAGGTATCTTCTGCATGTCTGCCACTTTAAACTTAGGGCACTCCTATACTTTATCTTTGAAAAAGTCATTATCCATCTAGTAGAAGCCTTATAGTTCTTAAACATCCTAACACATCTATGCTCCATATATAGGTTTGGATTTCCAATCCAAGCTTGGACTTTATAGAAGTTACATATAAAAGAAAAGGGCATCCTACTTGACATTTGGCCCTTACTCTTCCACATTCAGATTTAATGTAATTTAAATTCACTCTAGCGTTGATAGAATATGTCTCCAACGCCTTCCTAATAGCTGCTAGATTAGGAAAAGTTATATCCATCACAAAGTAAGGCCTACTTTGATTTGCTAGACCTCTATTTTCCTCTAAAGGCCCATTATCCTCATGTGAGTCTAGCTATGGTTCATTACAACCATATTCCTTTTCATAATCCTCATCACCATCACTAAAGCCTTCATTTTCCCCTACAAGGTCATGGTAGTCATTATCTTCACTGTTATTGTCATTACCACCTTCACTATCATATTCATTCTCACCAGCATATTTAATGCTCTTATAAGAAACAGAGTCATCACTACCTTCTTCCTCCTTATCTACATGGTCATTCTCTTTCCCATTATCATTTCCTATCCCAATATAACAATCATGAAGATATTGTTCTGTATCAATAGCCTCATCATCATTCTTACTTATACCACTATCAATCCTTTTAAACGCATTTAACATAAACTTCTCTACGTGTATCACCTCCTCGTCCTACATTTTCTCACTCTCACCACCTACTACTTGTTCCTTATTTTTCTCATTACTTATACTAAATGTTCCTACATCCTAAACAGTATACATGAATTTCCTAAATAGTATATGTGAATTTCATGTCCATATCTCCCTACAATTTTTCATAACAAAGCATACCTAGGTCAAGATTTGATTCACTCCCATCATGCCCTCATTCTCTTTAATATCACTATCTTCTTCCACCATATCCTTCTTGCTATTATCACCATGCTCGATGGCATCTACCACATTATTATCACTATCATTCTCATCAATAGAGTTAAAGGCATAATCACAATCATTGTTACTGTCCAACATACCTAAAAATATATATACATAAGGGCAATGAGGTGATTTCACTATAACTCAAACCACCCAAGTTTACAATACCAAAATCCACCATCAAACTCACCTCTAGTTCACTTGAGAATGAAATTGCAAGGTTGAATTAGTCACACTCCTCTAAAAATCAAGATCCTTAGTCATGTGTTCCTTTCCAATTCATAGGTAGGGTTTACTCGTTTCCTTTTCAAAAGAAACTATATCATTTTATTGCCAATTTTAAGTGACAATGACCAATATGCCTTTCAACCTATCTTAGTAATTCACACGTGGCATGCCACCTAGTAACTTTTAATCTAACAATCTTCTCCGTAATGGTTTAATGTTCCACAAGTTGACGATAGGGTGCAATTCATTTTGGATTTAGAAGTTTAGGGTCTATTTTACACATTTTAAGAGTTTAGGATCTAAGATTCTTTTCACGCATAATACTTTAAAGTCCAAATGCTCATTAACTTATATTTCAATATTTATTATTAATATATAAGCCCAACTATTATAAAAAATTATATCATCAATCTATAAAAATTTCCAATCAAACTTTCCATTCCTTATTCAAAACAAATAAAAATGCTTTCTATCCCTAAACAATCATTGCAAATACACCTATTTTATTTTGGATAAAAGCAAAACACCTACCCAAGAAATTCTAATGGATTTTTGATGCATAACAATCCATCTTTCTTTCTATATAGAAACAACATTATTTTTAAAACTCATCATAGAAATAATGCAATTATTGTAAGCAAAACAAAGTATATAGTAAAATATAAGAAAAAGATTAAACCTTAGATAGAGTTAGGAGATAGCACAAATCATTGATGAGGTTTATATGATGGTTGTATGCCAGGGCTGGATTTGTTGTTATATGACCATAAGGTGTGGTAGTGACTAAGTGGTTGCATGAGCTAAGGTAGTTTACAAGTTCTATTGTTTAAGTACATGCTGGCTATTATAATGTACATGAGTAGATTTGCATAGTTAATTGAGCTAGCATAAGCATGAGGGTGGGAGTTTACCCTAGAGAAATAGAAGGCTGGAATGGTAAAATCTGTGTGGTGTAGCCTCTATGGAGTTTTCCTATAGTAGTTGGCATGTTTCATTACTAATGTGCTTAGTATTGCTAATAACTTATGGGTATGGCATAGGTCAGGCACGATTCTCAGTGTTATTGATCTTGGGCTAGATGGTGTGAGTTAGGTATTTATGACATCTTGAAATTTGAGTGAGGGGAACTTATAGTCTAAGAGTGAGTGTGGGAACATTGGTTAGGTGACCCCTTACAATTGAAGAGCCAAACTAATCTAGTCATATGGGTTAGTTATTTACAAGCTATTAGTCTATGGGTTTGGTCAAACAATATAAGGAGGGATATAAGGTAGTTGCATTAATCAAAAAGCATTGATATATGAGAAATTTGTGATTGTGATCATTTAATTTATATGCTATGAAAATCCTTTTTAATGTGAATGTCACACTTTAATATGCTTTCATTAAGTTTCTTGATTACTGAGATTATTTAATCTCACTCTTGTTAGTTAATGTTTTTCCAAGAGATGTTAAGGCAAAGTGCAAAAAGGGAAGCTTACTAGGCTAAGCACTAAAGTATAGTATTATAATCTCTAGTCTCTTACATTGTGTAATGAAGCATATTATATTTCTACCAATATTAGGAGTTAATCATGCCTATTTTTATATGGTATATCATAGATATTTTGCATGTGTGCCCCATATGTTAACTTAAGCATATTGGGTAGGTAGCCTATTTTGAGAAAAAAGGTCCAATATGCAAAAAGTGTTGATGCTTATGATTGATGTTTAAGTAGGCTTTGATATGCCTATAGATATATTTATCATGCATGATTGTTATTGTATTTTAGTCTATATTTTGGGTTGAGGGGAGGCATTAAGGAATGTGTAAGAGGCTTAAAGGCTCATATCAACACTAAATGTTCCAGGATCCTCATTTGGTAACATATTGAATTGAAACTGGTGCCTATAGTTAGATTGTTGTATTAACATCATGTGAATGCTTGGATAATCTTAAATGGAGGCCTAAGTAATTAATTAAGAAGGTTCAAAGTTAAGTTAAGTTTGTTGCTTATTGTACTGTTCATGTAGGGTTCATCGCAGTGGACTGTGAGTTTAGCCATAGCAAGCAAGCAAATGTCTATTAGCCACTTCAAGGATGTCTTGTGCCATGGTGAGTTAGTACTTGTGAATTAGTCATAGTGAGTGAGTATTACATTGCGATGAGCATGTCAAATTGTAGTTGGTAGCGACAAAGGTATACTTAGTTGCAACGAACAAACAAACAAGTGTAGGGATGCTATAAATGCTTATTTTACCTTTTTTCCCCTCTTTCAATGCTATCCCTTAAAATTTCATGCTTTGGCATATTTTCAAATGCTCTAATTTTTGGAAAAGAGTTTTATTTAACCTTGATTGATTTTGTGGGATCCTAATTCCTAGTTGTGCTTTGATAAATAATTTAAATGATAATGCCATGGTTGATCCATTGTTAAGTTGTTGATTAGTAGAGTTAAATAAGGGTTAATGATAGAGGTCATTACAAAGTTGGTATCAAGTTCTCGAGTTTTGAGAGCTGGTGCTTATGTTTGAAATATTAATAATCATTTAAGCATTGAGCATATAGGTGTTGGCAAAAATATATTTATTACAAATTTTCCCCTTTATAACTGCTTTAACTATATGCTAAATTTCTTATGATATCTTTTACGTATTTAAAGATTATTACTCATGCTTACCCCTTTAAGGTGGGCTACATCCTTAGAAGGGGAGAAGGGATAAAATTAGCATGTTTTTAGCACGTTTGCCTTTGTGGCAAGGAAAATTTGAGACAAATAAGAAAGACAAAGTTAAATGTTGATATGATCAATGTGCATAATTTAAAGGAAAGTTAGTTAATTAAGAATATATGAATTGTACCTTTTAGTTAGACTATACTATATAGATATCAGAGATATCTCTCTATTGATTGAGTATTTGAACTGTTTTCTCACTTAATGTGGTCATTAGGAGAAATTGGTTGAATATTTATTTCACAATTCCTTTTCAAAAGAGGAGGTTTAAATTCATATTATGGCAAGAAATGAAAGTTAAGTGAAAAGAAGAATTCGAGGATCAATAAATCACTAATAGATGAAAGTGTTGAATTGAAAGTTGTGATTGATGTTAAGTTTAGACTGGTTGGGATTGGATTTGAGGGAATGATTATGAGTAGAATCATTATTTAATCATGGAAAATTGTATGTCTATATGCTTCTTTAGGAAGTCTTATGGGAAGTAAGAAAGTCAAGGAACCGAGGAATCCTAAGGACATGTTTTGGCTTAATGCTAGAATTGGTTACAAATTGGCAGGGTGAATTGGCATTGCATGTAGTAATCGCTCTAAAAACTATTGTCATGTAAACAATGGATCTTTCAATGACAGGGGATTAAGGGGTTGACTAAATCGATTGGTGAAAGAGAATAATCCAAGGGAATAGAGGTTAATCATTAGGAGCATCAATATATGGAAGAAATTATAAATATTTTAAAGATTGGTGCCTTGCTTTAGTTATAAGGTTGTAGTAAGGGCAGCAAAGACATTACCTTATGTGAGAGTTAATAGTATTTTAACAATTGAAGAACTTTTTGTTGAAGTTTAAATTGAGACATAAATACTTATTATGTTTAAACATGCATGGGTGTGCCTTTTGATACTTAGCATATTTAAATACAAAGATGTATGTCTTTTGAAGTTTTCTTCAAATTAAAGCTTACACGAAACCTTGTTTATGAGACAAATGAATCAGTGGGAAGATGAGTCCTTTTATGTTTCAAGTTTTTATGCCAAAATGCTTTTGAACTGTTTACTTGGAAAAGCTCAACATTTTCTTAATTTCTTAATGATTATGGATCCTTATAGACTTTTGGAAGCAAACATTTTTCAAGCTTTACAATGGGAATTGAGAACTTTTGTTTACCCTTTTGAGTTCTTATTCTGACGAGGAGTTAGAGGATTTTAAGCAAATGAAAAATTATAAGATATATTTTAACACATATAATAGGTAATTGTGAAATAAAGTCTCAACTATCAAACTTAAAAAAAAAAAACTATGCATGCACTTAAGAAAGGTTATGATGGGACAAATATAACAATTGAGCATTGTGAGTAACCAAGAGTCGCACCAAGATTCTAAGTACTGAAACTTCGCCTGAGGTTAAGGATGCTAGATAGGCATTTGATCAATTCTTTTGATATTATGTGTATCAGGTACTAAACCATATATATTACAATTATACCATTAACTTATACTCACATTTTCCATATGTATATATCACGAGACACTTTGCCACAATACAGACAACCATATAGCAATTGTTAAATCAATAATAGTGATCTGTATTATCACAATATAAACAATTATGTGACAATGGCATAATCTACTATCGTGACTTGTCACAAACTTAATTACCATGTGATACGTTAGATAAAAAATATGCATGATCAATTCTTCCTTATAATTTTCTTATTTCCTTCGATTGAAACTGAGTGATATAATATTAATTAGGGCTCTATTCGTGTGACTGAACTATCTAAACTTACTAATTGTGGGGAATGACCTAGTCAAATATCATTACACTCACTTTCGGGCCACGGCTTCTCCATTCTTGAATCCTTAAAGTGTCGTATACCCTAAGCTAATCTTCTCGACAAATAGTTAGAGATAGTTAGGTTCTAGTCATTTAACAAATTATGAGACAATTCCTCGACAAAGAATGAGATAATACTAGCCTTTATGCATTGAAAGAAGCTATAATTATTATATGGATTTATTTTACTCCTCTTTCTAAGTGAACTGATATCAAGATGTTTATATGTTTAAAAATAAAAAAGATATCTCTTTAACCAAGTAAAATATGGTGTATTTTACATTTTAAAATATATTAATGTATTAATAACTAGTTCAATCACTATTTGACTTGATGCAATCCATCAAAAAGCCTTAACTACTATATGAAACAGTTCCATGGCTGGTTTGACTTTTGTAAAATCAGTCAGGAGTTAAATGCTTATGATTATTTAAAATGTTTAGTTTATTTAATTATCTTTTTCATGGATTTTGAATTTTATTCCTTAAATTTCTTCACCAAATTTTCCCCCCTAATCATTAGATTTCTAGACTGCTCTTCAAATTCCTGGTCCAACGGGAACTTCATAGATTGAACGCACCTAATCACCTTTTGTCATATCATATGTGACGACAAGGAAGGTTTCATATTCCATTTGGACACGTATTTTGTTGTGAGGATGGTCTTCTCTACTTCAGCGATAGTGGAAGAGGACTCCATTATAATCTGGATGAGAAAAATGTCAAATCTTCCGCGGAACGAACAAAACTTGAGCCTTTTGTAGCGTCGTCATTGCTTACACTTGTGTCCGTGTCATGTTCATTGAAATTTCAGTCCTCTAAGGCTTGAATTTCCCTATAAATTCATTTCCTTTTGGCCCAAGTAGCTACGTCTTCAGAGAGAGAGAGAGAGAGGGGGGAAACGGTGCGCTGAGATTTCGTCTTATCAAGTAATCAAAAAAATGGCGGAAGTGAAGAACAAGCAAGTGGTTCTAAAGGAGTATGTGTCTGGACTCCCCAAGGAATCCGACTTTCAATTGGTTGAAGGTTCCATCGCATTGAAGGTTCCAGAAGGTTCGAACCAGATTCTGCTCAAGAATCTTTACTTATCCTGCGATCCCTACCAGCGAATGATGATGAACGAAACAATTTCTTCCATATTTGGTACTTACACGCTTGGCGCTGTAAGTCTTGCTTTCTGTATTACCCTCTTTTACTGTCATTTTTTTTTTTATGAGTGAAATTGTTGATCAGGGACGACACTCTCAATTATTGTCTCTGGTTGGGGGTTCAAACTCACACCCAAAGAAGAGCGGAAGCCTTATTCTGCTTTTAATGTTACTTAAACTATTTTTTTTTCTCATTTTTGTTTTGGGGAATCGTTCTGCTTCTGAGGTTTCCTTTGATTGCTGGAGATTTTGAGAAACGGAACGTATTGGTTTTGATGAGCTACTTGATAAAATTCTTGTGTAATCGTATGTAATTTCTGTATAAAATTTTCAGAAGTTGGTAGGTTCTGAATCTACTTAAAGTTTGTTGCATGAAGCAGTAGTGATGACTAGGCTTCGAATAATTCTCGGCTGAATTGGGGGAAAAATGAGAGAGTCAAAATTAGCAAATGTATCCATTCACTTTTCTGTACAGATACAAGATGTCATTTTTTCACCAGTCCCTTTTACATCTATCGAGTGTGAGGGTAAACTAGGATAACCTTAGGTTTGACTATTTTTAGATTAAAAAAAAAAAACATACTAATCTCTCTTTACATTTTGATATATATATATATAGAAACCTCTCACAATTTAAGTAATTATAATTTTTAGAGAAAACATATATATTGAATAGAGGGGAGCTTATTGAAGTCTTCGAACAAGAGGGCGGTCATCTGTAATTCAACCAAACTTGAAAGGTAGTTTAGTGTAATTTGCTTAGTGAATGTTTGGTGACATTTAAAAATATGCTACTACAAAGGCGTAGTTCAAAGCCTGAGGGTTTATTTAGTTTTAGTGTTAGAAATGAACAAGTGATGTGTGATTTGACACGCTGTCTCAGATCCTAATCATGCTGATTTTTCTGGGGCCAGTCTTTGGTCCAGGGAGGTGGATTTGGTGGGTTATACACAAGCTAACACAACTGAATGTAATAATAAAATAAAGCAAAAGAGCACAATAAAAAGAACAACTAATTAAAATTATATACTTGAGGCTTCTTAGAAGAAGAGAATACTTGAAATTCATTTCTTTCTGCTGGAATTAATATTTCTTCAGACAAGGTCAAACTGAAAGATCAGATATTTGGAAGGGGCTCATGATTCTGGCAACACCAAAGCTTCTGATCACGATTTAATCATTTAAAATTAAATTCAGAATGTATGGCATTGAAGTTTTCTTTTGTATTAGAAATGTGCAGCTACTAAACAGTTGTGTTGAATAATTGCAGCCGATACATGGATATGGTGTGGCTAAAGTTCTTGAATCTGGACACCCTGACTATAAAAAGGGTGATTTAGTTTGGGGATATGTTATATGGGAGGAATACAGCTTGGTGCCCCCAACTCAAATACATTTCAAAATTGAGCACAACGATGTCCCGCTTTCCTACTATACAGGAATTCTTGGTATATACTGAAGCATTTCAATTTATTTTGATTATGATTTTTTTGATATGTGTCATCTGAATCCTTATGATGTTTTCATGTGATAAATGGTTTCTTGGTCCCCTGTTTGTTCTAGACGGCACCAGATATTGAAAATTTTCATGCTTATTTGCAGTGATTGTCATTATGCATTTCATTGATGTGGAAGTGGTGGTTTTGGCTGCTCTGTTCCCAGCTATTTTCATTTTATTTTCAGCGGTTACAAGGCTTGAATTGATCTTTGATGCTTTAACTTTATTGGCTGACTCGCTTCCACTTGGAGAAGAACATCTATGGCAGCCCTAATACTTTTCAGCAACTGGCAGTCAAATGATTTTATATCTCCATTACAACTGTGTTCTGATATTTCTCTATTTACTTTATATGATTTTGTTATGCTTCTATTTCTTTTTTGAGCACACAAGTTTCTGAAGATTGAATCTTGGCCAGCTTCCATGTTTCTGCTTTGTAGTTGCATAGCTTATCTTGATTGTCCTGCTTGTTCTGATTAATGCTCTTTTCTTGATAAATATTGACTTTATCCAAGTTCCAAAATCCAAGTTCCAAAGTGAGAAAAGAAGACATGTATGACTAGGAAAATGCTGTGCATATCACTTGTACTTCTTTCGTTGCATTCTTTAAACCGCCATTCTGATATTAAGTAATAAATGTATAATGGAGTTGTATTTATTTTATTTGTGCTTATTTTCTTAGCATAACTGTCTTCTTTTCTTCCTCCATAGGTATGCCAGGAATGACTGCATATGCTGGTTTCTTTGAAATTGGATCTCCCAAGAAGGAAGATCGTGTTTTTGTCTCATCTGCATCTGGTGCAGTCGGTCAACTTGTTGGGCAATTAGCGAAACTTCTAGGCTGTTATGTCGTCGGAAGTGCTGGTAGTAAAGAGAAGGTACGGTTCTGGTCGATGCTGTTATACTTAGGAACTTGTCGAGATCAATATGACTCCCAATTTCAATCCTCTATATTCATTAAGTTAACTGTATACAGCATACTTAGAGAGGTATACAGAGAAGAAAAATGCAAAAAGTGGAAGTGGGTCTTACACAGTTACTTTTTTTATGTCGTTTTCTCTTTAAATACATGACTGCATGATCAAAAATGGATTCAATTTGGTATGACTTCCTCCTTATTAGCCAATTATTATATTATTGCAAAAGGACCATCTTACATGTTCATTCACTTATGATGAAGTTCAAGAATGGACAGACTTGTGTTTCGATTGGATATTCCTTCTCAGTGAAACTAGGGAAGCATTTAATTATTAGTACCATAATGCATCATAATCCAACATATGTAGTTGCTGCTTGCTTCTTTTTTGATTTTAAAATAGAATCAAATTCCTTTGCAGGGGTATGATTGAGACGAACAAAATCCATCTGTTTTTTTGTCTGTTCTTCCCATTTCATGAATTTTCTGCCTTTTACAATTAGGTGGAGCTATTGAAAAATAAATTAGGATTTGATGAAGCTTTTAACTACAAGGAAGAACCTGACTTGGACGCAGCATTGAAAAGGTCAGTGTCTAATAACTTTATTTTAGACCTAGCAATTTAAATCAAGTCCAATGTAGATCATTTAAGTCCAAATAAATTTCTGAATGTAAAGTAAGTCCCTTGGTGCTTGAGTGACATGTTGATATTTTGATATTTTGTAACTTTGTTTCCCAAATTTGCAATTACGTTTGGTTGAATTTGCAACTCATTTTTCCAATCTTAATAGAGAATGCAAATCTTAATGATTAAATTTGAAAACAATCATGTCATTATTTGAACACTTTCATGAATTTGCAACTTTGTTTTCCAAATGTGCAATTTCGTCCTGTTTAATTTGCAACTCGTTTTTTTTAATTTTAATAATGAACACAAATTTTAATGATTAAATTTGAAAACAAAATTATGTCATTATTTGAACACTTCCAAGAATTTGCAACTTTGTCTTCCAAATTTGTAATTCGGTCGTCTTGAATTTGCAACTTAATTTTTTAATTTTAATAAGGCACACGAATCGTAATGATTAAATTTGAAAAGTAACATGTTATTATTTGAATGCTTTTAGGAATTTGCAACTTGCTTTCCTGATTTTAATGAGAAACAAAAATCTTAATGATTAAATTGGAAAAGTGACATATTATTTAAATACTTCCAAAAAATTTTTAACTGTATCCTAAATTTGCAATTTTGTCTTGCTAAATTTGTGACTTATTTTTTCAATTTTAAAGGAGAACAAAAATCTTGATTAAATTTTAATAGGGAATTTGCAACTTGTTCTCCCTTTTTTATTGATATAAACTGATTGTATTATGTAAAATATCAGTTGAGGAACTTTACATTTTAAAATTTGTTTGGACTTGAATAAAATGATCTCATTGGGACTTTAGTGTCATTACCCCTTTAAGTTACTTCCCCATTTAACAATGATGCACTCTAGAAGCTCATGGATATGGATTTACATCTCAGGTACTTCCCAGAAGGCATTGACCTTTACTTTGAGAATGTCGGGGGTAAAACACTCCAAGCAGTACTTTTGAACATGAGAGTCCACGGGCGAATAGCCGTTTGTGGAATGGTCTCACAGTATAATCTTGATCGACATGAAGGCATAACAAATTTGGTGCAGCTCATTTTTAGGAGAATTCGTATGCATGGATTTAGTGTACATGATCATTATCACCTCTATCCCAAATTCTTGGAGTTCATTCTACCTCTTATCAAGCAAGGGAAAATAGTGTATTTGGAAGACATAGTTGAAGGCCTTGAGAATGGCCCTGCAGCTTTGGTTGGCCTCTATAGTGGTCGCAACATTGGAAAACAAGTCGTCGTTATTGCTCATGAGTAATGTCAGGGATGCAGATCCTCTACATTCAGTAAGTACGTGCATTTTGTAGATGTAGATCGTTGCAACAGAAAGAAGTGCTCTCTAAGTGAATTTGGCTACATGGATCATACAATGCATTCATTTAGTAAGTTTATCTTGTTGATTTAGAGGGCTAATAAAAACGTAAGATGTGGGTGAAGATAGGAAAAATGAGTATTGCATAGGCATGTTTGGTATACAGAAAAATGTTTTCTAAAACAGAAATTAAAGATACATCTAGAAAGAAAATAAAATAGGTGCATTTTTCTTTTTCTTTTTCTTTTTTTGGCAAAGACTTTTCTACCTACTAAACATTACTTGTGTGTCTTATCTGTTTCTTAAATGTATGATGATGCATTATAGTAGAGATTATTATTGTATCTGGAGTTGCCTTCTTGGTTGATTTCCAATGTATGTTCTTTTTAATATCAAATATGGATATGTAGCAATGATGTTTTTTGGTAAATAAGGCCTTGGTTTGCTATTTGTTAATTCAAAGGTTCATGTCTTGCAAATGGGGCAACAATTAGCAAATTGTCTTGTACATGTAATTTACACTTGCCTTGTGATTTCAAACAATATTAAAATGTTTTGAAACGAGGAAGACAGATAGAAAGCGGAAAGTGTTTTTTAGAAAAGAAATGGAAAATATATCTAGAAAGAAAATGGAATATACATACTTCCTTTGATTTTTATTATAAAGTATTTTCAATCGTTTCATGCATCATAAGAATCGTTTCATGCATCATAAGAGAAGTTAGTTTTTTTCATAATATCATAAAGAATTGTATATACTTTTATTTTTATCTTTGGTTTTAAATTATGATGCAACTACATTAAATACTTTCACGTTAATTAAGAAAGGGTCACATTGAAAAAAGTAGTTTAATTATTATAAAGGGTTCTATATTTTGGATCAAGAATTACTTTTAGAAGGTGTCCTATTTAGAAAGAGTATTTGTCATTTTCTTCCTAAAAACCATTTTTTATCTACCAAACATTACAAAAGTTTTTATAGTGTTTTTCATTTTTTTTTGTCTATATATAGAATGTAGATGAAGTTACAACTAAAACTTATTTTCTATTTTTTTCTTATCTCCTTTTAATCTAATTGTGCATTTTAGTTAAAATTTGACTAAGAAAATCAAATGACTTGGAAGACTTCTTCTTCTTCTTTTTTTGGGTGCCAGCAAATAACTTGTAAGACTTTTATTAAACCTTACTAATCAAAAAGTCAATATTATTCTTGATAGACTTTGATATTCAATTACTAGTTATCATTTGATGGAAACATACCAATGATAGAGAAATTAGGTTGCTCACAAATTATGAAAAGAAAATATTATTTTTCAAATTTTATGTAAAGTTATGCAGTCACTTAATTAACAATTGTGTCAATTAAGACATATCTAGGTTAATGATGGAAACAATTCTTTCCCTCTAGTTTAAAATAAATAGCAATTGATATAAAATATAGAGAGACTCATTTTGGACCCTTAGGATAAACATATTTGCAAATAAGGCCCAAATGATTCACTCCCTCTGCGAGTCTTTTTTATGTTTCTCGTTGAAATGACTCAATTACCCCTCACATAAGGCCTCTATAGTGACTTTGCATTTTCTTTCATTTCTTTTTACTCACTCTTCCTTCTTTCTCTTCCTCGCTCAACACTGATTCCCTGTTTTCTAAAAGATTTTCTCGTAAGTGATTCTGGTAAGTTCCTCACGAAAACGTCTGAATTCTCCTATTTTTCTGTCCATCAGTTTTTAGTTTCAGCATGTCTGAATTCTATTGAATAATTGGTTCTTGAAGGTAATTTTCTTCTAAACTGTACATAGACGTTCTGGTCTCCTGATTCAAATCAAATTGCCATGGATAAATGCGTTGGAGTAATTGAGGATTCATTAAGTATAGGCTAGGCAAAAAAAGCACTTCAACTCGATCAAATATTTTGGCAGGCACCAAGTTACTTATGGCTAACTTCGAATGTTTTGCTGTAAATAAATTAATTGTAGTTGTTATCTATGGACTTTTAGTTATAAATTTTATATGATTTACTTGTAAATTTCAAGTTGGATATAGTTACTGACCTTTTGTATATATTAAATGTGAAATTTGATGTAAACTTTCATATCAATAATTATATATATCCAAATATAATGTATATTTTTTATATTATTTTAATGAAAGTAAGTTGTTATTTATGATTTTTTTTGTAAAATTGTTTTGATTAGAAGTGCAATAAAATGTTAAACTCTCAAAAACCACATGAGCATGATAACCGAACATTTTGTTCAAACTAATTGAACTTTGATTGTTATTTACAGATCTTTTGTTATAAATTTCATCTAGATAACTTGTAAATCACACACACCACAATATTTGCCTCATTTAGATTTTGTGATGCTGACAAGTCCAGGTTAAGATATTTACAAGTAAAAGTTTATATGTTGACAAGCTAAGGTTTAAAATTGATAGGTTCATGTATTAACAAAGCTAAAAATGAATATGTAAATGTTTGCATCAAATTTCATTTCTAAAAAGTCACCAACTATAGCCAACTTAAAATTTACAGATAAAATTTAAAGAAAGAAATTTACAATAGAAGGTCATAAATAATAATTAGAATCTATTTATTTTAACAAAATTGTTGTTTAGATACGATAGTTTATGGGAATTTACAGTTGAACAAGACAAAATTTACAAATTATCTAGATGAAATATAAAACAAAAAGTTTGTAAATAATAATTAAAGTCCAACTATTTTCAACTTGAAAACCTGTGAGTGTGAAGCTGAATAAATAGAGGTTTTTATTCAATACTTGGTGATCTCC